CCCTGCCCCCCCCCCCCTGCCACTGGAGATGGCCATGCACAGCCTTTTCCTGGCCTTCCTTGTTGCCGAGATTGCAGCTGCCTTCTTTGCACTGAAGACCATGACCAAGCAGCTGGCAGCACAGTTCTACCTGCAGCAGTTCAAGGAGGACGGCAGGGGAGGGCTGGAGCAGGCAGCCAGGGAGGGGTGAAGCTCCAGGACCCCTCCATCCCACGCAGTCAGTCCTGGCAGGGAGCATTAAATGGTGTTTGGACCCCCACTGCGCCTCCACACACTGTGTTTTTGAGCTGTGCAGCTCAGTGGCTCGTGGGTTCCCAGAGCACCCCAGGGTGTCGTGGTGCATCTCTCCCTGCTTCTCTGGGCCTCACTACAATCTCAGGAACTCCTGCCCTGCACCAGGCCAACACAGCCTGAGGCAGGTGGGAGAGCAGGGCTCAGGACCTCCAAAAGGCTCAGGCTCGCCCCAGGGCTGCGGCTTGTCCTCGCTGAGCATCAGGCCTGGCAGGAGGCAGGAACCAGGGGGCACAGGAGCCACCGCACACCCTACCCTGCCTTAAGCTCAGCTCTTAAATCCTCCTTGATCACAGCCGAGGTGGGGGGGCCAGTGGTTCCGCTACTCCCTGTGGAGCTCCCAAGCATCCAGGCAGCTCATAGAATCAGAATCACTTAGGCTGGAAAAGAGGCTCCCATGAAGCCATCCCAGCTGAAAGCATGCAGGGTGCTGCAAGGTGCAAGAGTAGCACCACAAAACCTTCGCAGCCACCCGCAGGGCTAGAGACAGAGCAGAGCCACTTCCTGCTTTATCAACAGCTTTATTTCGTTGCATCCCTGTTTTTCACAGGAAATCAAGGCCCAGCCCCATCTAGAACGTGAAGAAGCGCAAAGTACTTTAAGTCTTTTGTACTGAGTGTGGGCCAGGCGCTTCCCAGCAAGCTCTAGTTCCCACAGCTCTGCTTGGTCACCGGCCAGTGCTGGGAGCTGCATATGGAATTGCTTTGTGCTGTGCTCCAGGAGCCGTGAACTTCTGCTGCTGCAAATATTTCTCCAGGAAAGGCAGACCCTAACCCCAGCAGTGCACACTGGGGCCAGGAGAACTGGGCCCCCTCCACCTGGGCCACAGCCGTGCCCTCATTGCATGTACCTGGACGTTGCTCTGGAGTGCAGGGTGCTTGTGGTGGAGCATTCCCGATGTCCCTAAGCTGCAGCCTCGGTGTTACCTTTAGGGGGTTTTGCCTGCAAAATGAACAGGGGCATCTTAGTATACTAGAGACAGGGACAACCCTAGCAGGTGGTCCTGCACTGCTTGCTCAGTCCCAAGGGACCAGATTCATTCCTTGAGACCCCCACTCCGCTTGTGATTTGAGATCAGGCATTAGGAACAACTTTTATTCCCCTAGTAGGATGGTACAGCCCTGGGGCAGTTCACTGGGGGCTGGGGGGATCTCTGTCCTCAGAGGTTTCCAAGACTTGGCCAGACAAAGCCGAAGATGACCCAAGCTAGGGCTGGCAGCCCTCCTGCTTGCAGGGTCTCCCAGCCCATACCCTATGGCTCCCTGATTCACCAGGGCCGGGCAGTGCCAAAGCGGGAATCATACACAGCAAGAAAACCTGTCACTGAACTGCAGCATCAGCACTGACACAGCACCAGGGTGCACTTGGAAGAGCTGCCCTCTCTCCACATGGAGTTTGGCCAGATTCAGTTCAGAAGATGGTGAATACATGTGGAGCTGGGTCACATCCCCTTGGGGACTCCTTGATGTCTAACAGGAGTTGAGGTTGTGGTACAAGCTTTCCCTGCAGTCCAGGCACCAGCTGGGTACCTCTCTTCCACTCTGCTGCCAGTTGTCATTAAACTCGTAAAAGTTTAATCTCTGTCAAGTTCAGTTCAGACCAGCCACCAAGCCCAAGAGTTGAAGACTAAGAATTGCTCCACCTGGGTTTCTCAGATCTTGTGAACTGAGTTTTAACCAAGGGGCAGAAAATAATTAAACCCTCTTGCAAGACTTCACTCTAACCTCATCTCTCCAAAGTGGCCCCATTCTTACCTCCTCAAACTTCTCCTTCCAATAGAAGTCAGCCTTCACATCCAGGTAGAGCAGAACCAGGTCACAGACCACCGTGGCCTGGAGACAGACAAACACAGCAGGGCAGTCAGCAGTGAAACTTCCTGCAGGAGTGCCAAGCCCCCTGCCCTGGCTCCCATCAAGCCCTGCAGCCAGCTGCAGGCCAAACTCCAGCACCTGGCCAGCGAGCGCTGTGGGTTGGGAGCCTGACCTGCCTCCCGCCTGACCTGCCCCCAGTCCAGAAGCCTGACCTGCCTCCAGTCCAGGCCACCCAGGCAGCTCCACCAGGTCCTCTGTGACCCAACCTGCTCCCATGAGCTGTACGGGAAGTCAGACGTGATCATCTGGGCTGCAACGCACGGATGCAAGGTGAGGGCTGGTCCAGCGGAAAGCTGCTGTCACAGCCACGTAAGGGACTAGGGTGAGCATGTCTGGGAGGAAAGAGGGGGCAGGTGGGGCAGCCCAGGCTCCCTGTTACTCTGCTGAAAGGCAAGAGCCTCAGAACTGCTCTGCAAGGGGCTGCCCTGTCTTGATGACTGCAATGCCATGTCCATGCCAGCACATCAGGGGAGAAACACCAAGAGGAGGTGCTCTCTCCTGCTGGCCAAGACAGCTGGAACAGACTAGCCAGCGACACCCCAGCAATGTGCCTTCCCGAATACCTGGCCTCCATGAGGTGTGCCCCTGACAGTGCTCAAGATCCTTGACCCAGCAGCGTCATTACTGCTAACGATTACAAACAGGAAAATGGGAGCTAACACCCTGACAGATAATCTCCCCTCCCAGGCTTGCAGGCACCCAAGAAGCCTTGTACCCAGACAGGCAAGGGAAACAACAGATGACTGGCAAATCCCAACCCACAGATCAGATCAAAAGAGCGTATCTGGAGTACTCACGGCACCAAAGAAAGCGATGCCAGTGCCGAAGCTCACGGCAGCATGAATTATGCCAAACTTCCCATCCTGGTGAGAAACAGTGGGTGGAGGGGGAAGACAGTGGGTGGAAAGCGGTGAGAGGGCTGTGGGACAAGCCCCGTAGGGCAGTGTGCTTAAAGCCAGGAAAGTGCTAGAGGAAACCGGGGTCATTTCTCTGTGCCCAGCTGCAGGAACATAACTGCTATTGCCTTGACTCAAAACCCCTTTGGATGTCAAAGAAGGGATTGAGGCAGGTCATGATCTGGTGTCAGCAGGGCTTACTGTGACCCACCTACTCCCGCAAGCACAGCAGGAGCCTCCCTCTTGCTGCAGAACTGCAGCAGCTGCCACCCACGGAACTACATCCCAGCAAACACAGCCCTGATGTGATATGTCCCTCTCTGCTCAAGTGAGTCTGGTATGTCTGAGGAAAGACATTTTCCAGTTCCTGTGTCTCTCCTGGCTATTCTCTCCTGCTCCACACCTCCTGGACCTGGTCTCACTACCCTGTCCTGGACTGCATGCTTTGCCTTCTTCAGGTGAAAAGGCCACTGCTGAGCATGACAGACCTGTGGTGGACATCTCTTCAGGTGGCAAGTCCTCTCAGCACAGGCTCAATCTTGCACAGTCGAGTATTGAATTTGTCAGTGGTGCTGCATAGAGTAGCATCATCCATGATCATGCCCATGCCTTTTCCCCCTCTGAGGGTACAATTAATCAAGAAGGGATTAACTGTCCAGGTTCAGAAAAGTGCAGGTTGATCTTTGCCAGGGCACTCCCACCGTGAAACCTTCAGGAAATGCCCACAGGCCTCCACCCAGATAAGTTCACCTTGCCTACAGGGCCCAGCACCCATGTCAGATCCCCAATGAGGGAAGCCTCCCTGCTCAGGGCATTATCAAGAGTTTTCTCTTGAAATGTGAGAGACCATTTTTCCTGCTCTGCTTGGAAGACTCTGGAAAGAGGTGAAGAGCTCACCAGGGTGGGGAGAAGTGATGCCAGCAGGAAGCCATGGGGCTGGGTGCAGGAGAGAGCAGCAGGGAGCAATGCGAGGAGTCAGCCCTGGTGACAAGGCCGCCAGGACTGCATATGCAGAGTGTGCAGAGGAGACGGTACCTGACCATGCACGGAGATGTCAAAGCGGATGCCATAGAGCTTCAGCAGGTTCCGGTAGAGCCGCTGCTGGGAGTCCCAGTAGTAGGAGGCAGTTCTGCGGGAGACATTGGACGCGGCTTAGAAGGCCATGGCAGCTCTGCACAGGGAGTGAGGGAGGACGGCTGCCAGCACTGTACGATTGCTGGGGCTACCATGTGCCTGTGCACACCTTGTGTCCTTCAGTGGACTGGGATGTGAGCGATGCATGTGCTGCCATGACTCACTTAGCTTGGCATCAGCAGGGGCACCAGCATCCACTCAGCACCCAGCCCTGGGTCACTGGGAGCATACAGCTCCCAGGGTGTCCAGTTCAGGGTCAGCACGGGTGTGGACAGCCACATGTCCCTGCCCTCAGGCAGGTAATGCCTTGCACAGCTCCAAACAGAGCAGAGATACAAGGTGCGGGAACTACCACGGCACCCTGGCGCTGACAGACCCTGCACTGAGTTACCACATCCTGTTGTCCCTGCTGCTCCTTTCAGAGCATCAATAAGGAAAACTGACATCTCAAATGACTGCCGTGTGCTCAACCCACAGCCTTGTGTGGTGACTGTCCCAGCGTCCTCACCTAAAATTGTACCTCCTGTCCTGCAGGCTGAAGGAGTACTGCGTCTGGCATTGGGCAGTGGGGTGATCCAGGTTGCAGTCCCACTCGATGCGAACTCCAATGCTCCCCCCCTGCAAGACACATTTTATTCCAGGAGAAGCATGGGATCAGAGATTTGCTGAGTTCTTTACTGTTCAGACATCCACAGATCACACATTCCCTTAGCGTTTCAGGGGTCAGTCCTGTCCCCTGCCCCTCACCCACATCCTTGGGGAATTTGGAGTCATCTTCCATAATTTAAAAAACAAACCCAGTACCAGCAGTGCAATGTCTCCAAAGGTCTCTCCAGCTGCCTCCACCATGTCACGGACACGGAAGACAGGGCAGGAGGGGTTGAAGAATGGATCATACATGCAGCTCTTGAAATAGGTAGGGTCATTGGTTTGCAAAGTATTGCACCTGAGACAGGAGAGAGAGGGAGCCGTCATGGGTGGAGTGGGGTGTGGGAGGT